GATCCCCTCAGTACACAAGGTAACATAAGGTTCTCGGTTGAAACTCAGTGGAGCAGGTTAAAGTCATCGGTACAACAAGCTGCCCTACACGCGTTAGGCACTAGACCACGTCGTCTGAAGGACTGGATATCCAGTCACACCATCCATTTAGCTAATGCGGCCAGAGAAGCTCGTTTAGCTCGATCCTCTACTTATCGCGATCTCAGGCGACAAGCAACACGATCAGCCAGCAACGATAGATGCAACTACTGGAATGAAATGGCTACTAAAATGGAGACAGCAGCCAACCTGGGCAACACGGCGACCCTCTTCCGTCTTATTCGATCAGCCTCGGGCAAGAATCAGGCCACCCACTCTGTGCTGCGCAGCGCCTCCTGTGAGCTCATCTCCGATGCGCAGGGAAAAATGTCTCGGTGGGTGGAACACTTTAGTCTTCTTCTCAACCGCCCTCAAATCCAACTTCCGTGTGCGCCCTCCTCGCCATCTTCTCCATACGAAGTTAACTGCGCTCCGCCATCAGTAGAAGAAGTCTCAGATATTATCAGCCATCTGAAACCACGGAAATCCCCCGGTGGGGACGGGATACCCTCCGAAATCGACGGTGTACTTACTGTACTTACTGTGTACACTCTGGGAAACCGAAATTTGCCCAATTGACTGGACCACATCGATTTTACTACCCTTCCCCAAAAAGGGTGACAAATCAGTGTGCGAAAACTACAGAAGCATCAACTTACTGGACGTGGCGGCCAAAGTTTTTGCACAAGTTTTGCTGAACCGCTTTGCTGCGTCAAGGCATGCACGCACTCGTCCTAACCAGAAAGGATTCCGTCCCGGTGTGGGCCGCGTCGATCAAATATTGAATCTACGTCGACTCTTGGAACATCGCCACAAGTTTCATCAACATACAACAGTCTGCTTCATTGATTTTTGTGCGGCATTCGACTCCGTAGATCGCGAATCCCTCTGGAACATTGTTCTGGCCGATTGTGTCCCAGTCAAACTTGTCAACTTAATGACACCCTACTATTCTAACACTAGCGCCCGAATCCGTGTCCACGGAGAGGAATCTTGCCCGCTCGGGTTAGGATCTGGACTGCGACAGGGTGCTCGTTGTCCCCAGTGCTGTTCAACTTTACCGTGGACTGGATAATGCGTCGTTCGATGGAAGGATACCAGGGACTTCAGATCTCTTCGAACTTATGGCTCACTGACTTAGAATTCGTGGATGATATTGTCGTCTTTGGCGAGGATATGTCTGACCTTCAATTAATCGTTGACCGCATCAATCGACTAGCCTCCGAGATCGGTCTATAGGTGAACACATCAAAAACCAAAACCTTTACGATAGTCCCGATTCATTCGGAGAATGCTTTACTACTAAACGGTGAGCGGATCGAATCCATCGTAAGCTTCAAATATTTGGGCTCAACCATTCTCCCTAACGGCCAAGCTAAAGATGAGGTGCAAAGGCGCGTCGACGCTGCAAGAAGGGCGTTTTTACAGTTGAAGAATTCCCTTTGGCGCAGAAATGAAATCAGCCTCAAGACAAAAATCCGAGTTTTCTCCGCAGCAGTCCGTCCTGTTTTGCTATACGGCTGCGAAACCTGGCCACTCAGAGTCGAAGACTGTCACAGATTAGAAGTCTTCCATCACTGGTGCTTAAGAATCATTCTGGGAGTTCCATGGAGGGACCAACTCTCAAATGAAGTGGTCCGAAATCGGTGTTTTAATCTTGTACGGCTGAGGACGCTAATACAACGGCGACGACTGCAATGGTTTGACCACATTCTTCGCAAGCCCGATAACGACCTGACAAAAGCTGTGTTGGCACCGCCTCCCTGCTCGAACTGGCGATGTCGGCACGGTGGACAGCTGAAAACCTGGCTAAACACGGAGCGAAAGGATGCTGAAAACCTTGGTCTCCGCTCCGTCTACGGCGTTCGCCAATGGAAGTCAAACTGGATCACAATATGCGCTGATCTTGCCGCAGATCGCCGAGCGTGGGCAGCGGCAATTCGAGATAACCATAAGGCCGGCTTATCCTCTCCCAGGAGCCAGCCCCCGTAAAGTAAAGTAAGTAAGCAGCACGCCCCCGCGTTATTTTTATTGTTAATATTGTTGTGGCGTTGGCACCAAGCTTGTTCTCAAGCCGGCGTAAATGATGGTGGTTGTCCACTTGTTCCAGCGGGCGACCGCGGTTACCTAAAACTCTGCGCCGAACCTCAGCATTGCTTGTCCGGTTGTCCCACCAGATTCATGCAGTGCTGCGTAGTCAGCGGCGTTAGAACACCGACAGTCTATCTTTATCCTGTGTTCATAATAGTCAAATCCCTGCGCCATGTAGTCGAAATGCTGCAGCATACACTCGACCCTTCACACAGCCAAATGTCACGACGTTACCACTTTTTGTATTTTTCGCTATTCATTTGGTCATTTTTTCATCCACTGCTCCTGTTTGTCCGTTTTTTGCATAAATCCTTACTGACCTCTCACACCCTGTTCTTCAAACGGATCACAATGTCTTCTTTCCTCACATTCCGTTCGCCAAATCAGCTGGCGCAGATATCAAGGAAATGTGTGGCAAGACATATCCGTTTGCCTTCCGCAGAAATTTCCTAGCCGAATGGGAACGCATTGCGTGTACACGAAAGCCCTTGATCGCTGCCGTTTGCGGTTTCGCACTGGGTGGTGGATGTGAACTGGCCATGATGTGTGATATTATTTACGCAAGTGAGACAGCCAAATTCGGACAGCCGGAAATCAAATTGGGCATCATTCCCGGCGGTGGTGGCACACAACGTCTGATTCGAGCGATCGGAAAATCCCGTGCAATGGAATGGATTTTAACCGGTAGGCTGTTCTGGTTGACCCTGTGTGTGTTCGTTTGTGTGTGCCCGCTGGTTCCCGCTTGTCTGATCATAAGCACTCTTAGAGCGTGAGTTTATCGTTTCGGAGTTATCTCGATGAAAACAGGTGTGACGGTGGAGTGTAATTCTCTGGTTGATTTGTTTGGAGTGAGGCGTCCCGTATGGACACGTTTTTCTCCGTCTCCCCATCTCCCAGGGCTTTGAATCCTTCTACTTTTCATTCAATGGACACCTCAGAAGCAGGCTAGAATTTTCACTGGGAATAGCGACAAAATGTGCTGTGTACAATTACTGTTGAAATTTTGCAATCAATTTCCAGAAGATTACCAGGGGCCGCAGCCGTTCTGGTGCTGCTTAAGGACACAAAACAACGGAATGGTGGGGCAGCGGTGATGATAGTGGTAGGATTTGCATTTACCACCTTCCGGTCGGTTTCGTGGTGAACTTGATTTGAAAATAATCTTCAATATGCGTACGTGTCAGTTGAGCTGCAGCATAACAAATTACTTTTTTCTGACAAATTATTCATTGTTTTGAAAGAACACGGTCTCCTTACACACACACACACACACTGAGTAGATACAAATTGGGTGAGGTTCAGATCGCCGTTACTGCCCAATTGATGGATAACCGTGCTGTTGCTCCACTCTATACTCCACCGATACCCTTAGGATCTTACTTGGTTTGCCACTCCGAATCCAGAG